TCTGGGATTTTGTTGTTGCGAATGGCTGATTCTGTGGCTGTGATCATCTCAACCACAGGAATTCTTCTTGGTGCGACCACAAAGTTCAGTCCTCTGGACAGGATTTCGGTTTCTGGCTGGGTGAGTTCTCTGTCAGATAAATTCTTCACTCACTTCTCTGTCTCCCTAGCATTTGCTTGTGCTCCTGTGTGTTGTTCCACCTTCTGTGAGTTGTTGGAATTACGAAGGGACTGTTGAGTTACCAGTAAAGTGGCCTTTTTTTGTTGTYGGGTCTTGGACTTGATATGCTGAGCTAAACCTGCCTTTTCTGTAAAATCCATAACCTGTTGGAATGTGGTCTGATCTGTTTTGTTAATTCTTTTTGGCTGTGTTCCTCTTTGGTTTCTATAGCTTCGATGGTAATGTAGCAGGAACGTAAGAAAACAGTTTCACACAAGAACTTTGAACCATTGTCCTCACCCTTTTTCTCCACTGTCTACAAATGCTGAAATAAACAGGAACTGTAACCGTCCATTGATTAAGCCCTGTTGTGAGATCCTTTTGAAGTGTTCAAAATGGCCGTTTATAACAAAGAACCAACCATTTGGCCAGACGGAAAGTCTCCAGAAGTGAGTTTACACTCAACATCCTGACCCTAAGAGACCGTGTCCCCTGCTGAGATAATGACCCATGAACTCTCTTCAAAGACATGCCTAACATATAATCTCATTAATGGTCTTAGAGCGCCCCTACAGGCTATTCTCATAATTACATCATGAGCAAAGGTTTTTCTGGGTAAATTTCTGTTGTTGGTTTTCTGGAAAAAAAAAAAAGAAACAATGTATTTCTCTATCATGATTCGATCACTGTAATAATATCTTGATTTTCTCACTGTATAGGTAACAGCATCAATCTGTGTTTTGTTTAATCATCTAAGCTGCAGAACTGTGATCTCAGTGAAGCAGGTGACACCCCATGTGACCCTCTCTCAGCCAATCAGAAGTTTGTAAAAGTCAGKACAAAGAGTTACGATTTGTATTATTTTCGTAGTCTAGAAAACAGCAGCCAGAGAGAACAGGTCAGGAGTTTTAAGTTACGTCATTCCCTTCGGGGACAATTTATTTTAATTTTAAAAATTTTGTTTTAGTTTAACTTTTGTAGTTTAAGGACGTGATTTGTTAGGTAAATTGAGCTGATCAGGACTTCGATCCGATCCATCGAGACCCGGACCGACCGTCTTCCTCCTAATGTGAAGCCGACCCAGACAGCCTCGGCATTTCCAGCTGTACCCGAATGGGACCTCCTGAGACCGAGCGGCACTGGTGACCATCTTCGCTCAATATCTCCTGGTACCCTGGGGCAGATCTGACCTGGTTTACGTCGGAATGGTAGGAAAGAACATTTTTCTATGCGTTTGGTGGTGTGCTCAGCTGAGGTGGTGAGAGAGAGTTCGGGCGCTTGAACGGACTCGGAAGGAAGAGATCTGGAGAGTTTAATTTCCCTTAGAAATCACGTCCCCTCTTGATAAATGAATCAATGTTTTCTTTTGTTAATCTAGGAAGTTTTCACTCCTTTGGTTAGAATAGATAATAGTGAGTTGTGATTATATTACAAGAAGTAGTTTTGGCTGAAGTGATGTCACGTTGTTATTAAATTCATAGAAGTTGTGATAACAGCTGTTGTTACCTGCCACAAATGACTTGTGATGTAAATTTTCGCTGTGAATCTATGAATATAGGGTATATTGTGAAATTCATGTTTCTGTCAATGCGTCTTTTATTCGTGTCCATGGTCATAAACTGAAAAGAGCTCCGTCCTCCAGTACATGAGATTAGTTCAAAGATACAAGATTAATTTTCCTGTTGTTAGACTGACAAGTGGTGCCCCTCTTAGTCTGTAATAGATTATAAGAAAACCTTATAATTTAGCGACTCTTTAATTAAAATCCTCCTACAGTAAAGTTGGTCTGTCTTACTCGTTCGTTCAAAAGCTGGGTCTGTGCCCTCTGTAGGATCTCACTTGCCCATTGTCCACCAACAGATAATTTAAGTTGAAGCTTCTAGGAAATATGCCACACTGTCTGCAACGATTTAATCTTCTGAGATTTAATCTTCGTTTCAGGGATAAAGATGTTCTCATCCTTGATACAGAGGAACATTGGTTTGAGAGAGGTGTAAAGGAAGCCATCTTTGTGAAGAAAAACTGTCCACCATTAAACAGAGGTGGAGGCCTTCGTGTCCAGTTGTCCTCCTCCTACAATGCTGTTATTGCAAGTATGACTCAGCCCCTGTGAGCAAAAGGTRTGAATCAGGGTCCCAACGATAACCAACACAAAGAGGGAAAAAAAGACAAAAACAAGGGGACGTTGAGCCCCGCATACACTCACTACATACACATAACGACACCTAATGGTACATTTACACCAAACACGTTTTGAGCATCAGGAGCATTGGTTTACATGCAAAGTCAATGGTGCACGCGCATCCAGGGGCGTCTTGAAGCCAAGCAGCACAGTTCGAAGCAGTGCATGCGTCATCAGCATTTTCCAAGCACGCGGCACGTTTTCATCTGACCAGGGCACCTTCTTCCACGTTTGGTGTGTCTCCCAGGTAGCTTGTGGCAAGCTTTGAACAAGACTTTTTATGGATATCTTTGAGAAATGGCTTTCTTCTTGCCACTCTTCCATAAAGGCCAGATTTGTGCAGTGTACGACTGTTGTCCTATGGACAGACTCTCCCACGTCAGCTGTAGATCTTTGAAGTTCATCCAGACTGATCATGGGCCTCTTGGCTGCATCTCTGATGTCTTCTCCTTGTTCCAAATAAAAGTTTAGAGGGACGACCTGGTCTGGGTAGAGTGCAGTGGTCTGATACTCCTTCCATTTCAATAAGGTCGCTTGCACAGTGCTCCTTGAGATGTTTAAAGCTTGGGAGATCTTGTTAGTGATGTGTCCTTCTGTGTCGAGGCTTCGAAGAGTGTGCCGAGTAATAGAGGAGGATTTTTGTGGAGCTCGCATCGAGTCTTGTGTTGATGACGCCCGTAGTGACGTTCGAAGCTGGCAGGTCGTACCACATGTCTGATTCAGGGACTGGTTTGCATGTAAGCGCGAGATTCGAAAGTGGCAGCAAACACCGCTAATCTCCCATAACATTATGTTGTCATAAAATTGTATTGCGTGCATTTAAGTTTTTCAGCTGATCGACTTTTTGTCCGATGGAACCAGCAAGAAAGAGGAAAGTTCCCCCGGTCTCCTAATAAT